CTTTTGTCATGAGACGTATAATTATTATATTTGTAATTTTTTGATGTCTTAGAGGAAGATTAAAATATGTAAATTGAAAAATTATGATCAAAAAATGAAGACTTAGTAGCTCTAAAAAGTAATTGAAAATAAATGCTGTATTACAACATGTTATTTTTTTAATTTAAGGATAAAAATCATCAATAATTTAAGAAAATTTTTTATTGATTTTGAAGAATGTAAATTTCTTTCGTTTTACTTAATTCACTTATCAAATTTCTATATTTAAGTTTAAATCTAAACTCAATATAATTCTTATAGTATGCTAATAGTTTCTGTATTATCATATAAATAGAATTTCTTTTCAAATAATTCCAATGTATTTATTATAATAATGTAATTCTTTGATGGATACTGGGTGATTCTTTACACTTTTATTAAAGTATTTTTTGATATTAAATATAATCCTACCTTTCTTGTTTCGTTTTACTAAATGTTTAATTCTTGTTAAAATTCACTCGCTTTTATAATAATCAATATTTATTTTAAATAAGTTATATGTCTTGCACTTTTAAAAAGAAAGAAGATTAGTATGAGGTTTTAGCTTCATCTAAAGATATTGATGATTCATTTTACAGTGTGATAATTGATACATTAAGATGAGAAAAGATTTCTGATTGTCTAAGATTTCTTTCAAAACCTGACAATGTAAAGCAATATAAATAATATATTTTGTAGGTGAAAAATTTATCATTTGTTGAAAAGGAATATTAACTATTACTAGTTAATTTCTTAGTTGAAATGAAAGTTAATTTTAATTAGCAATCCTTTGAAAATGTCAGAATGAAAGATACTTCTTTGATCGGAGCAAATTTATTTTAGTGTACTTTGAGTGGATCTGAATTTTCATATGTAGACATAAGTGGAGCGAATTTGAAAGGAGATTTATTATTTAATTTTAAATGGAATAATTTAAAAATACAGGAGTTACTTTAACTCGATAGTCATAATGATTATGTCCGATCCATTTGCTCTTTACCTGTAAGTTCTTAATTAGTTTCTTGTAGTAAAGATAATTCTATCCAATTGTGATACTGTAGATTATATTAGCTATTTCCCTCTATAAAAAAATTCAATCTACCAATTTTACCAAATCTATATTCACCAACTTCTATATATTTCTTTTTTCCAAAATCTTCACACAGATAGATCCAATTAATTCTACCTTTATTAATTTGATTTCAAATTCCATAAAAAATTACATCTATTCACTTTTGTACCATTTTTGTAATCACCTTGACAAGTAAATTCTTATAAATAATCAAATTCTTCCCATCTCCAGATATTAAACCCATTATTACTTTCATTATATAATCCACCGCCACTAAAGCATTCCAGCCTAGTATTTTTAATTTTAGTAATTTACACCTAATTACAAAAATTAAAAATATCCCATCTACGAATTTTTATACCATTTCGATATTCGCCATCATAAGTGACTTTAGGAATATCATTAAACCCCCTCACTCAATTCAATCCAAATTCCAATTTTATACCCATAACCTCTTTCATCATATAATCCTACACCTCTAAATATATAGAAATAAATATTTATTAATATAATTTTATATTTTGTTTCCACAATGCAAAAATCCCAATTACAAAGTTTTTTACCATCACGATATTCACCATTAGAAGTTACTAGATTCATCTTTAAACTTTTCACTAAACTCAACCCATTTATTAATTTTGATTTCATCTCCTCCATCATCATACCATCCACCTCCACTTTTAAATTTAGAGATAATATTTAATATTTTTATCTTACATTATTTAAATATTTTACTATTTTTCCAATAAAAGTTCCCAACTTTCTAACCATTTTAATATTAACCATCAAGAGTGATTTAAGAATCCATTCTAAATCGATCGCTTAACTCAATCGATCTCCCATTTTCATACCCATCATTTCTTTAATCATATAAGCCACAACTGTTATATTTAGATATAATATTTTTAAAGTATTTACATTTATCTAAGTTTATTCTAACAATAATCTTTATTCGAAATATCCCATTAATCAC